TTTATAGTAGTTTTTAGGACATCGATTATTGACTTTTATGATGTTTGTTTGGTTTCTCTTTTCTGAGAAAATGGACTCATTTCAAAAGCACAAATTTCTGTCTAATCAGATGCTCTCTTGAATATCTCTCCTCTTTACTTGCTTACATCATTCATAGCTGATGTGGCTAAAGCCTATTGGCAGACTAGCCCTTCAGTGCAGTATATACCTCTCAAACACACATAATGCTTCAATGCACATCAAATGTGAAACAAACAGTACGTATATTGACTTGTAAAGACACTATCTATCTATATAATGTCTAATCAGTGTTTTCATCTGCCGCAGTAATGTCTTTGAATCTTCACGTAGGGGCGTTTCCCATCAAATATTGATATGGCATAATAAATATAATTAATTTTATTAAAGTCAAACGGCTCTAGACATTAGAAATAGAATCGTGATGGTGATGTGGGATATGTTTTAAAGTGTGTTAAATTGCCTTGATTTACTTAGTTTGACAGCCTAACCTGATGTCATGTCATGCCTCTGTGTCAGGAGATCTGTTGACTTGAATGTGAGTGAATATATATTCATAATGTCATACAGTGTGCAGCTCTGGTGAACGTGAGCAAAACAGACTGTGGAAAAGTGTTTTAAATGAAAAAGTGTCTTTCATTCAAAATAATCCAACAAATATAACCCTCAATTAAATCATCTCTTTATATTGCAGTTTTTGTTCTATAATTATTTTCTGGCATTATATAATAATTATATAATGAATTCAATCAAATGTTATATTTTTGCAAATATTCTCAATGAAACACTAAGAAGATAAACTTTTTTACAGCATATTTTGCTCATATTTACCAAGCGTGCCAAGTGTGTGTGTGTGTGTGTGTGAGAGAGATTTCCAGTACAACTGTGTATGAAGGACATATTTCAGTGACCTAGTAGTGATTTGTTGTATTTATACATTTACCTGTTTATCTGTTGTTGTAAACAAATATATTTTTGTGTGGTATTTCTGCTATATCTAGCAAAGCTGCATCAGTAATTATTTTCTGGCATTATATAATAATTATATAATGAATTCAATCAAATGTTATATTTTTGCAAATATTCTCAATGAAAGACTAAGAAGATAAACTTTTTTACAGCATATTTTGCTCATATTTACCAAGTGTGTATGTGTGTGTGTGTGAGAGAGATTTCCAGTACAACTGTGTATGAAGGACATATTTCAGTGACCTAGTAGTGATTTGTTGTATTTATACATTTACCTGTTTATCTGTTGTTGTAAACAAATATATTTTTGTGTGGTATTTCTGCTATATCTAGCAAAGCTGCATCAGAAGATCAGATATGTAATTTTGACAACCAGTTCTGGAGGAAATATTTATCTACTTATTTATTTAATAATAATGTGAAGAATATGGTATTAAATGATGTTGTTTGGCATTACTGGCTATGTGTGTTTATTGAAAAAATGTACTACATAATGCATAATACTACACTGAACAAAATTATAGATGCAACACTTTTGTTTTTGCCCCCATTTTTCATGAGCTGAACTCAAAGATCTAAGACTTTTTCTATGTACACAAAAGGCCTATTTCTCTCAAATATTGTTCACAAATCTGTCTAAATCTGTGTTCGTGAGCACTTCTCCTTTGCCGAGATAATCCATCCACCTCACAGGTGTGGCATATCTAGATGCTGATTAGACAGCATGATTATTGCACAGGTGTGCCTTAGGCTGGCCACAATAAAAGGCCACCAAAGCTGCCAAAGATATTTTATAGTAGTATCCGGTAAAATGCCAATTGTTCAGCTTTTTTCAATTGCATTAGACAGTTTAAAATTATTTAATAATGAATGAATGAAATTTCTGAAGTGCAGCTAACCAGTATATTTATAAAGCTGGTGCTCTAGGTGACACAGCAGGGGAAGCAGACTGAATTACTGATGGTGTAGAAACAGTGCTTCACAATTAAGAGCTTTATTAAAACTATGAAGTACAAACAAAACATCTGTGACATCCGTGTTTATCCTGATGTTTTTAGTTGCTATTAAGGGAAAGAACACAATAGTATGTGCAAGATATGCAGATTTGTGTGGAAGAAACTTAAAAATCAGAATATGACTGCTGCTGAGTTTTCACAGTATGTAGTGTTATTTTTCACTCTGATATTATCCATCCATTCAACACTGGAGCACTTTAATGATAATATGTTGAATGGACAATACTTCTGGAGAGATGTAGAAAAAATCAGCGCTGACGAACTCTGACGAAACAGTCACAACGAACAACACCAGACACTGAACAAGGGAAACTCTGGGGCTGCAAACAAATAAACACCCGGGGGCAACAAGAGGGCAAATAAACAGAAAAACTACAAACCACACCAGACAGGAAGGAACTTAAAGCGGTCATATGATGCTTTTTTTAAAGATCATTATTTTGTGTAACAGAATATGTTGACATGCTTTAATGTTCAAAAAACACATTCTTTTTCAAATACTGTACATTATTGTAGGTCCTCTATGCCCCGCCTCTCTCAAAAGCTTTGTTTTCTACAAAGTCCCTCCTTCCGACAAGCGCAGTCTGCTCTGATTGGCCAGCTGACCCAGTGCATTGTGATTGGACGAACACCACAAACACGCGTCGGAAATGTAATGCCCCTTACCATAATCGCAGCTTCATCTTTCAAAATAAATGTAAAGACAGAGCCCAAAAGGGGAACAGAGTCGCGTGACAGACACAGTGATGAATATGTATTTACAGTACACAAGCCACGGTTAAGACAGCTGACTCCACTGTGATGTGACCCTCCCCCCCTCTCTCTCTCTCTCACTCTCTGTCTCTCGGGCTCTCTCTCTCTTGCTCTCTCTCTCGCTCACACACACACACGATGCGCAAAACTCCGCATTTGAACAGTCAATAGCAAATACTTAAACTAATAACAAAACAGTAACTGCGCTTACTGAAACCACGCCTTCTTTCTTTGCGTGCACAATTTGGGCGCATTTTGCTAATATTTCCACATAGTGAGGTAGATATGTGGGGGCGTGTTAGAACGAGCTGTTTTAGGGGGGTGTGGCAGAGTCTTAACTTTGATAAAGAATATCTCTTTGGGTTTGAGACTTTAGTCTTTGCATCTTCAGGGATCTTATCTATGCACAATCGGCTTGTAACACTCCAAAGAGAAAGCAAAACTTGAAATCGCATCATATGACCCCTTTAAAAGTCTTTACACAAGACAGGTAACATATCAGCAGCACTCCACAGCTGCTGCATTAGTCCATGTCCTGCAAACATAAACCACAAACCTGCCAAATCTGCCTCGCTCATTTTCACATGACGGATGACTTTAAGTGAATGAGAGGAAACTGCTTAGCTGTCAGTTTAGTCTGAACTCTGAGAGCTCAGCGCCACTTTTTTATTACAGTGCATTCCCTCAGCTTTGTGTAGTTCTTTTAAACCATATCAGTTAACATCATGACACAATGGGTGATTATGGGAATAGATGTGTTAAATGGTTTTCACCATGCTATATTGTAAGAAATCTGTTTTCTTACAATTGTCTGTTTCTGCCAGTCATAGCATGTAGCACTGGGATCTTCCACACTGTTAAACTGGTGGCATTATCACAACAAGTCAAGTCAAGTCACCTTTATTTATATAGTGCTTTTAACAATACAGATTGTGTCAAAGCAACTGAACAGCATTAATTAGGAAAATAGTGTGTCAATAATGCAAAATGACAATAGTAAACACTAATTTTTCAGTTAAAGACAGTTCATCATAGAATTCAGTGATGTCAACATCCAGCTCAGTTTAAATAGTATCTTTGCACTCATGTCAACGATATCGCTGGAAATGAAGTGTCCCCAACTAAGCAAGCCAGAGGCAACAGCGGCAAGGAACCAAAACTCCATCGGTGACAGAATGGAGAAAAACCTTGGGAGAATCCAGGCTCAGTCGGGGGGCCAAAAATCTATTTAAGACTTAATAAAACAGACGATGAACAATATTAACAGCAATTATTATATGATGCAATCAAACTTTGTAAGGCCCAGCTTGGAAGAAATCTCCCTGATTGCAATGACACTCCCAACCTCTAGTTGGCACTAACTAGTAACACTCCTCATCATTTCGCTTACACTGGTGCTATGCAATAACACTCCTAGCCACTAGGTGGCCCTAGCTTCTGTTGATAGATAACATCACTACTCATTAGGACTTGAATGCCCCCAGCCGTGTGTCTTTACCCAATTAATGTTGGCCTATTTAAGTGTGCCCCATTTGCTCACCTGTGTTCAGCCTTGAGCCTACTACACCTGTGTTTCCTCACCACCTAAGCTAGTTTATTGAGATTTTGGATTTTGCCTTTTGCTCATCTTTTATTTCTTGCATTTTTCTATGGAAGCACGGCTTCCCAGGATCGTATTCTAGCGGCTCTGTCTGGTCAAGCCACCACCATTCACAGACATGAACAGATCCTAGCTGAGGTACTGCAGCGCCTGAGTGAGCAGGCTAGGCCTCAAGCCTCCCCGGTATTAACTACTCCATCCGTTCCAGCTGAAGGGTCCACACCCCTGTTCTCCGGGCCTCTACCCGAGCCAAGACTGCCGGCACCCGAGAGGTATGATGGGAACCCTGAGAGGTGTCGGGGCTTTATCACTCAGTGCACTTTGACATTTGGTTTACAACCTAACGGCTTCCCCACAGCGAACAGCAAGGTGGCATACATCATCACTCTGCTCACCGGACACAGACCATCAGTCCAAACCACAGAGCTGCTAACTATCTCGAGCTGTCTCTTCTGGAGTCCAGGTGCTGCCTCCTGAGCTATCTCGAGTCCCCTTAGAATATACAGACCTCTGTGAAGTTTAGCAAGACCCGCGCAGCCTCTTTGCCACCCCACAGACCATATGACTGCGCTATTGATCTGCAACCGGAGACCTACCCTCCTCGAGGGAGGCTTTATTCCCTCTCCGCCCCAGAGAGAACTGCCATGGAGGAGTATATCAATGACGCTCTCAACAGTGGGTTCATCCGGCCATCTACGTCACCGGCAGGGGCTGGTTTCTTCTTTGTGGGAAAGAAGGATGGTGGGCTTCGGCCATGTATTGACTACCGGGGCCTTAATCGCATCACGGTCAAGAACCGCTACCCTCTCCCATTAATGACCATGGCCTTTGAACTCCTTCAAGGGGCGGCCATCTTCACTAAATTGGCCCTTCGGAACGCCTACCACCTTGTCCGAATACGAGAAGGGGATGAGTGGAAGACGGCCTTCAATACTCCCAAGGGGCACTACGAGTATCAGGTAATGCCCTTTGGGCTAGTCAAAGCTCCCGCGGTGTTCCAGGCGCCTATTAATGATGTGCTACGAGAGATGTTAGACAAGTTCGTATATGTATATCTTGATGACATCCTAATCTTCTCTCGCTGCTACCAAGAGCACGTCCAACTTGTCCGAAGCTTACTCTCCCAGCTATTGAGGAACGATCTTTTTGTCAAGCTGGAGAAAAGCTAATTTCATGTTCCCACTGTCTCTTTCCTTGGGTTCATTGTTTCAAGTGGCAATGTTCAGATGGATCCTGGCAAGATCCAGGCTATACTGGATTGGCCCCAACCAGGCTCCGTTAAGGAGGTTCAACGCTTTCTGGGGTTTGCAAACTTTTATAGGCGGTTCATCAGAGGCTTTAGTGCTATAGCCGAACCCCTGACCACTCTCACCAAGAAGACAGCAGGTCCCTTTAGGTGGACTGAGAGGGCTAACCTGGCATTCGACCGACTCAAGCAGCTCTTTACGTCTGCACCCATCTTGACTCTCCCAGATCCCGAGTTACCCTTTGTAGTCGAGGTGGATGCTTCGAGTGTGGGGGTAGGGGGAGTCTTATCACAGAGAGCAGGGAGTGATCACCAACTTCATCCTTGTGCGTTCTTCTCTCGGCGACTTTCCCCAGCCGAGAGGAATTATGATATCGGTAACCGGGAGCTGTTAGCGGTGAAGTTGGCGCTAGAGGAGTGGAGACAGTGGCTGGAGGGGGCCAAACACCCATTCCTCATCTGGACGGATCACAGGAACCTCACCTATATTCGGGAGGCCAAGAGATTGTGCCCACGTCAGGTGCGCTGGGCCCTTTTCTTTAACCGCTTTGATTTTACCCTCTCATACCGTCCAGGGTCTAAGTATTTAAAGCCTGATGCTCTCTCAAGACAGTTTGATCCACCAGAGATGGAGGGCAGACCCGAACCAATCCTACCTAGTTCCAGAGTGGTGGCATCGATCCAGTGGGGAGTTGAGACCGCAGTGAGGAAGGCCCAACGGCGAGATCCTGATCCAGGTAACGGACCTCCGGGTCGTCTATTTGTGCCTAACTCCATGCGGTCTGATGTGTTACAGTGGGGTCATGCTTCTCTGTCTTCGGGCCATCCTGGGAGCACGAGATCATTGAAACTCATTCAGAGAAGGTTTTGGTGGCCCAACATGCAGCGGGACGTCCGGGCTTTTGTTGCTGCCTGCAATGTGTGTGCCCAGAACAAGGAGCCCAGGACCCACCCTCATGGCTTACTGCACTCACTACCCATCCCTACACGCCCCTGGTCCCACATATCATTGGACTTCGTAACTGGTCTACCAAGCTCTCAAGGTAACACTGTAATTCTGGTGGTGGTAGACCGATTTTCCAAGGCTTGTCATCTCATACCATTGCCCAAGATTCCCACAGCAGGTCAGACAGCGGAGTTGCTAATGCAGCACGTCTTCAGAATCCATGGCTTTCCCCAGGATATGGTGTCCGACCGAGGATCTCAGTTCACCTCCCAGTTCTGGAAGTCGTTCGGGCGTCTGATTGGGGCATCCATTAGCCTGTCCTCTGGTTTTCACCCCCAATCGAATGGACAGACCGAGAGGGTCAACCAGGAGGTTGAGAAGACTCTCAGATGCTTGGTGTCCAACAACCAGACGGCTTGGAGCTCAGAGTACATCAAAACTATGATCTGTGATCATTTCATTTACAATAACTGCTTTGGGTGAGAGTGATCTAATGTTTAGGAGCCCAAACTTTAAAAATAGTCAAGACTTAATGAAATAGTTCATTTGAGAATTGACTTACTAGTCATATGGAGCGCAGCGTCCCGGAGATGTTGTCCGACATGAGCTCCGCTCTGACTCTGCTGGGGTGTAGGCCATCAGCGCGAAAAAGCCTAGTACGCTCCCAGAAAAGATTCCAGTTATTAACAAAGAGCAGTTTCTGTTCTTTACACCAACAGAGTTCAAGCTCACTATGCACTTTATATGCAACCAAGTCTCGTCCTGAGGAGCAAAAGACTTTAAAAGCAGAACGCTTTAATACACAACCACTGACCCAGAAACCCTGTGTCTTGTTTTAAAGCCTCAAACAAAGGCAGAGGTGGAAGTGAAAGGCAGATTCTGATGAGAAATACATTTGCTGTAATGCTTCAGATGTTTGGAGATAAAAAGCCTGGAGTCCTGAAACAGGCCTAAGTGGTCCTCTAAACCTGAGAGAAGGCCTGAAGTGTCGACATGTGATGCTGACTTTACAGCAGCAGACTGAGTGCACAGATGTCCACGTGAACAAATACTGCCATATGGTTTGAGACAGATTTGACAGGGATTCATACTGTTGGAGGATCACTTTCTATGATCCAACAACTGAAACTTCATCCTTAAGAGCCACAATTTTACACATTTATTTTGAGGTCCGCAGCCTTTCATTGATCTGGGGACATAAACCACATGAATCTCATTCTCTCCCAGTGTTTTGTGATTTCAAGCAGAAATAGCTGGATGGAGAAATTGTTGAACACTATCAGTCTGCAAATCTGACTTGTGACTCATAAATCACCCTGGGTTCATTTATTTAGGCCATAGGAGAGCTGGTTTCTGAGCCTGCTTTCTCCCAAGATTTTTTTGTTTGGGTTTCTTGCCACTGTTGCCTTTGGCTTAATTATTTGCAGATTAAGACTAGGGATGTAATGACTAACCGTGAGCCGGTTGAAAATCGATTCAAATATGTGACAATTCAAATCGGTTGAGATGCCAAAGAAATCGCGATTCATTTAGGGGCAGGAGTTTATATGAATGCATGTCTGAGGGGAACTTACTGTCTTTAGAAAAGTTTAGATGGTATTTTTTCATCTTGCCTCTGTATAATGCATATTAAAGTTAATAAGTGCAGCGCTGCTTTGTTTACAGCGGAAACCAAGGAAACGCTGTATCGTTGATTTGGGGCTTGTTTCAAAATTTCAGTGTAGTTTTGTTATTTACATTGGTTATATTTAAATTTAGTTATTTAGCAAACGCTTTTATCCAAAGCGACTTACAAATGAGGACAATAGAAGCAATCAAAACCAACAAAAGAGCAATAATTTACAAGTGCTATATTAGTATATTATTATAGTGTTATATTTCAATTTCACAAAGAAATGTGCAGCATTTTGTCCAAGCAATAATAAAAGGACACATTTAATTTATAATTTGTCTTAAATCTCATTTTGTAAAAAAATAATAATCGTGAATCGAATCGAATCGTGAGTTGAGTGAATCATTACATCCCTAATTAAGACACTTCAAATTCAGTAATATCATTGATTCAATGGAACTGACACAATCAGATGAGAACAAAACTAGAACTGAATTGAGCTGAATGAAATTGACCTCAGAAATGTAATTTAACGTCTCATATTTGATGAAGTTTGCATCATTGATTATGCTATTTTTCTGTGTATCACTGTGAAGTAGTTTTGAAACAATTTATTTTGTATAAAGCACAATAAATAAATAAAAGTGAATTGACTTGTTTTGCCTTATTTTTCTTAAGAGCTCTTGCAAACATGAAATGCAGTCATGTGCTGTAAATGTAATCTTTAGATCGGGACTCGTCGAGCTCTAGCACAACAGAAGAGTGAGCGGAGGTGTGTGGTTCAGTGCTGTCACCTCTTGCTGTGATTGGCAGGACGAATGGAAGCTCGTCCACCTCACTGCCTGTCTTTAATTACTCAGCCCGCTGTCTTTGCACAACTCAGCACTGGGCAGATTGATCACCTGCTGATGTAATGAGTTTAAACATAATAACAGCACTTTTAAACGTTCACTATCCTGCAATGTTTCACTGAAACAAGGTACAAAATACGATGATGAGGGGTAAAGTGTGTCGTTACGCTCAGCAGAGTGTATTCATTATATTCACAGTACAAAATGACCTCTCTGCTATTATCAAATGGTTATTGCATAATAAAAACAGCACAAAAATGTTGCCCTAGCAGTTTTTATAAAGCAAAGCGGCAGCCTTCTGCAAGAATATATAGTTAGTGGCGTTTAAAATACTAGTATCTATGAGTGCAGTGCAGTGATATACACACAGATGGTTTATGTCACAGCTGTTACTATATCGTGTGTAATTGGACTCCTGTCAGTTTATACAAAATTGCCTTGACAAATATGCCTAGACCAAATTTATATTGACAATTTCTCAGTTTAATTTCGCTGGTATCAGTTCCTATTTCATTCTGTTCTAAATAAATGCTGTCCATCAAGACTTGAACTGCATTTGGTTTAGTGGCTCTGACAGAAGCAGTGTGTCTGACAAGTCACTATATATATATATATATATATATATATATATATATATATATATATATATACGTATATATACAGTGCACAGCATAAATGAGTACACCCCCTCTGAATAAATATATATATATATATATATATATATATATATATCATTTCTGTACATAATAGTAAAAAAAAGCCAGTTGATTGGTGGAGTTTATAGAAAATGTAAACGCTCACAGAGAGAAGAGTACATTTAAATGTGAATCACGTTTGCAGAGGTCATGAGGTTGATTGAGGTTTAGTTGTAGGTGGTTGTTGACGGATGAAGACGTTCTGCTTCATCTCCTGATCCTCACTGACACTGGCTATTGCTGTCCTGAATGAATGTGTTTGGAACTGCATACCGGGGAAAAAACAGTGACTGATGCCTCACATGATGCCTTGCGGGTTTTATTATGAATGTTGGGACGTGATGGACAGGACTGCAGGCTGGTGTCTGATATTGATTGCCGTTCCCTTCATATGTCACTCTGTAAGTGAATGCCACTTACGTGTGCTGGTGTCCTCACTCACAGCTTACAAACATTCAGCTAGACCAACGCTTAAACCATTGAAGATTACATATATATCTACAGAACATATACAGTATATACAGTATATTCCATACATGAATGTACTTTCTTGTCATTGACTGGATTAATGTAACTGGCCTGTGGTCACGTGATTAACTGAATCATGAGGTTAAAAAAAGCTCAATCTGATTGTGTTGTGCTAGTCTTAGTGTGTCAGCGGAAGAGAGAAGAGCATCTGCTCACCACCTGCAGTCACACAATCTCCTGTCTCTCTAAAGGCCATTCATATTTTGTGACTTTAATCAACTCAGTGGCTCTTTATGAATGCAGAGGACCCTCAGGCGTTCCCTCATTTGACAGCTGACTATACTGCAGTGA